AGCGCCGCAGCCGACCAGCGGCGACCAGCGGCGACCACAGCCGACAACGCGCGCCGCCAGAGCCTCTAACGGAGCGAGATCTATTGCAATTTACACTAAGACAGCGCCGCAGCCGACCAGCGGCGACCAGCGGCGACCACAGCCGACAACGCAACCGAAAGAGCCTCTAACGGAGCGAGATCTATTGCAATGTACACTAAGACAGCGCCGCAGCCGACCAGCGGCGACCAGCGGCGACCACAGCCGACAACGCAACCGCCAGAGCCTGTAACGGAGCGAGATCTATTGCAATTTACACTAAGACAGCGGCGCAGCCGACCAGCGGCGACCAGCGGCGACTAGCGGTGACCACAGCCGACAACGCAACCGCCAGAGCCTCTAACGGAGCGAGATCTATTGTAATTTACACTAAGACAGCGCCGCAGCCGACCAGCGGCGACCAGCGGCGACCACAGCCGACAACGCAACCGCCAGAGCCTCTAACGGAGCGAGATCTATTGCCAGCGGCGACCAGCGGCGACCACAGCCGACAACGCAACCGCCAGAGCCTCTAACGGAGCGAGATCTATTGCAATTTACACTAAGACAGCGCCGCCTATGGCTGTTTCCACTAAGACAACGCCGCCGCCTGTGTGTGGTCTCTGTGTGTGTGATCTCTGTGTGTGTTGTCTCGGTGTGTGTTGTCTCTGTGTGTGTGTGTGATCTCTGTCTGTGTTGTCTCGGTGTGTGTGTGTGTGTGATCTCTGTCTGTGTTGTCTCGGTGTGTGTGTTGTCTCTGTATGTATTGTCTCGGTGTGTGTGTGTGTGTTGTCTTGGTGTGTGTTGTCTCTGTATGTATTGTCTCGGTGTGTGTTGTCTCGGTGTGTGTGGTCTCTGTGTGTGTGTTGCCTCGGTGTGTGTGGTCTCTGTATGTGTTGTCTCGGTGTGGAGGGAGGAGGCGGAGGCGGCGGGAAGCGGGAGGAGGAGGCGGCGGGAAGCGGGATGAGACATAGAAAAGAAGAACCCCACACTAAGATGTGGAGAAAAAACTCAGCGCGGACGCAGAACAGGTCCAGCAGAAGTTGGTGCTAAGTCCACGACAGGAAGCCATTTGCATGGATTTGCGAGCGGACTTCCTGAGCTCCAATTTACCCAATCACCAAATCCCTCCCCACGGAACCTGCGAGACTCTCTGTTGTTTGAAGCAGTGAATCTTCAGCGACCTTGGGTGTTCCTTCTCTTCAGCCTGAGGACGCTTGGGTGTTGCAGCCAGTTCTGATAGGCTGCTTCCAGCAGCACGCTGACCTTTGGGGAGAAGCCCAGCCAATGGTTTTGGCCTTCCTCAAACTCCCAATAAGCCTCAGCATGGATTGCTTCAGCCAAATCAGTTGTCAAAATGATTCAATTGATTGAATTGCAAAAGTTTCTCAACGTGTGCCCTGCAGTGCCTTCACCAACGTCTTGTTCTGCTCCAACTGCCGCTGCTGTGCTACGCCGTTGCTCTTCACTCCAGGCGCCGTAGGAGGTGCAAAGGCCAGGCAGTAGGGGCAGCTCATGGCACAAAAGTGCTTGAGCAATCCGAAAAAAGGATGATGTATGACTTAGAATTACGCTCCGTGACGATTCTGGAGTTGAAATTGGCTTGCGGTCCATGCAAATCTGCAGAGCATGTTTAACATACTTCTGAACCAAGTACTCTAGAAAAGGCCATCCATTGAGCTCCACAAATCCGCCATTGATGAGATCGATCGCCTGTTATGCAAATCAAAAAGCTGCGCAAGGAATCACAAGTCTGTTCAATTATATATACAATTTGGAAGATTCCACGCTTGTCGAGCTCACTCCATAGCTACGATAGCGTGTAATACAATGCTTTTGCTAACCTCTGTTTGGCGCTCCTTTTTGACGATTGGGCCGATGACGTCCGGCGTCCGTTGCGCCAGGTCCCAAGTGTCACTGAGGACACTCTCTGTTGAGCAGATTTGATGTCCAAATGCGATTTGACAACGTCATTTCAGCTTCATGCACAACTTGCCCAGGTTCAGAAAGTTGGCGATTCACTGCAACTGTTGGATGTAACAAACAAACTATATATAATTATATAAGTTCGAGTAACTTTTGTCCAGTGTTTCCCCAAGGATGTAGGATATTGAAGGCACCATCGGCTCTGTGCTTTGCTCATCTCTATTGGCAGCTACAAGAGCGGCCTCTACTTTGGAGGTATCTCCTGAGAGAGGGCTTGCCCCAAGCAGTGCCTTTGGGCAGAGCTTGAGAGCAATGCCAGTTCAGCAAAATCGAAGACATTCCTTTTCTGTCCTAATCAGTCAGTTCCAACGAAGACGTCTGCGCCTTACATCTTGCTCAGTCTCATCCGAACACCTACCGATCCGGAGAACTCAGGAGATACGAGTGCTTTGAGGCACCCTCCACCGTCTCGTGCGGCAAGGAAAATGAAAACAAATCTCGAAATCTCGGCTATCTTTTGATTCTCTATGCTCTCGTCTCTGCTTGTTTCCCTTGCAGGTCGACACCACACACCATTGTAACACTGAATATGGAAAGTTTTGTTGAAACAATCATTGTTTGGAAACTTTGCAAGCAGAGAAACCAGCGCCCTGGCACTCAAGAGTAACACAAAGGTGTGCGTACACATCCATCATGACTCATACGGGCACTGAGTTGGTTGAGAATCAACGAGTACTAATACTCAGTAGTCACTAGTCGGAACGTCGTGTCGGGTGCATCTGAGGACGTTGGCAAAAGCTTGTCATCTGCCAATCGTCCCTTTCGAGCATAGGTCATCTGATCATGTAGGTCACGTTCGCTTCTTTACTATGCTGTCCATGCAGCTGCGATTCAAACAGTTAGCTTTGAGCAGCTTTGGCTAGGGTCCCAAGCTGCCTCTTTTGGCAGGCTGCATGGCAGGTATTGCATTAGCTGTTGCACTTCGTGCTCGCTGAAAATGCAGGTGAGATTTGGGTGCAGTGCCCAAACCTTCGCCCTCTCAGGCAGACACACGGCCCTTGGTCTTTGGCTCCGGGAAAGACTCAAAGTTGCCTGTCATCGATCTGAAAGTCAAAATCATCTGTTGACTACGCATATGTTTGTCCTCTCAGACAAGGAAACTCCCATCTAGACCTTCGTTGGTATGGACCATAACCCTGCTTCCCCAATTCCTCGCCTCCTTCGTCAAATAACCGAAGCTCTGTCAGCACTATGGGGCTGTCGATGCCCTGACAGTTGACAGTGCTGGGGGAATGACGGATCTATACATGTGTTTTTAACAATCGGATAATGCACGCGGTGATACCATCAGGCCATCATGCCCAAACCTTGGAAACCCGGGATCAAGAAGCTTCATGTGCCCTTAGTCTCTTAAATTCTGCTAATATCAATCGACCCCCCGACCTTCAGTGCATAAGCACCCAAGCGCTGGAGTGACCAACCTGCCGAACAAATGAAGAGATATGCAACATGTACATGACCTGCGCACATGTTGATTCCCAGCAAACACAGCACTCTCAGATCAACCTACACAACCACGATGCAAATAACTGACAAAAGACTGTCACGACTAAAGCCAAAACTGCAAATGCAACGGATAACCAGGTTTATCTGTATATGTATACATATTGTAAGCATCCAGCTACTATTTCTGCACGTTGTGTGTGCGCGCAATCTGTGGAACGTTTCCAGCTCGGGCCTGGCACGGCTGACTGTTGAGGGGCTGGTGAGACCGGCTGTGGCTGGATCGGTGGCTGCATCGGCTGCGGTTGCATGGGCAGCGACTGCACAGGGTGCTGAACCTGCTGCCCAGGTTGCCCAACCTTCCATCCTGTGATGCCAGGATGCCTCAGCATCAAAGCTCAGCCTCCCCAACGCATCAGATCCAAATGAAATATAATGAAATCAGAGCAAGTCCGCACGTTGTAAATATTCAACTGCTCAATCTCCATGGTGGGTCCCAGGTTGGCAAGGTCAGTTTGTGCCAGCTGCAATTTTTGCTAGACCGCTCGCAGGGTGAGCGCCGGAGAGGGTTGAGTTTGAGGTGCTAGTACGTCAGAGTTCTGCAACTACCTTGCTCCCACCTTTTTCAGCCCATGGTGGGTCACAGCCAGTTGCATTCCGACCAACGATGTCACCTTCATGCTCCTTTTGGCTAGCGGGCAGTACCGCTTTGGAGGAGGCATCTTGAGGTTGGTGTACTCACACGGTTCAACATACAGAAAACGGTGCATAGGCCACATAGGAACGAGATGCACCTGTGGTTGCTATGGCCGTATTTTCCAGGTACAGTGGAAAAGCTTCGAATTTGTTTGGGCGTCCAATTTCGCTGTTTGATGCACCTTGGGTTCTTTGATTGCTAAAATGCAATAAGGGTAGGCTTGGAGCCGGAGCCGAACGCCGAGGAGCCAAGCCAAAAAGTGGGAAGGTTCGAGGAGCCAAGCAAACAGGAGGGGAAGGCACAAATGAAAGGCAGAGCCAGCAAACGGATCAACGGATGGCAATGCAATGGGCAAGACAGGTGTCGAGAGGGTAGCAAGGTACCAAAAGCTATCAAAAGGGAAAGATTCTCGAGAACAGCACCCTAAGTCAGCTTCCACTCCTTGAGCTTGAGGTGCAAGTACGTAACTACAGTTCTTCAGGCAGAAATACCTGGCAAGGAAGACCTTGTGAAAAGCAGTTTGCCTTTGAAGAGAGCCAACGCGAGGAGCTGCGTTTGTCACCCCCTACTTTCACACCTTCGCCCCCAAAGCGGCAAATGTTCTTCAAAGCCTGCCCTGACTAAATTTTAGTAGTGGCGCCTGCCTGCTTAATTAGTCAAGTATATAAGTGGAGTTTGGCTCGCTAAGCTTCATGAAGTAAGGGGTAGCATTAGCTAAACTTGCAAGCTACTACCTACTGGAGCTATTCATTTGTAGATTTTTGGGAAACATGTCTGTTTCTCTCTCAATTCATTTCTATATCGACTCATATCTCTGGACCTGCTCAAATGCCCATGTTGCCGAGGTTCTGCTGTTGCACAGGAGTTGGCTGCACCCCTGGAGTCGGCTGCGGGATCATTTGTGGATAGCCTCGCCACCGACGAAGCATGTGGCGAAAAGGTCTGTGGAGTTACAGTCTGCTAGCAACCTCTGTTAGTGTGTATGACTGGTTGTTCATGACCTAACTTGCGCAAAGCACAATAGACCATGAGCGTGATGCAACCTAGGAGTTGTTGAATCAAAAAACACATTTGGATCGAAAGCCCTTGTGTGCAAATCATGCTCCGATCCTGGCAATTTCGGCGGTTGTTGCCACTGCAACCCTGGCAGGCGGCCAGTGGCACTCGGATCTATCGGGGTGTCGCCACCCAAGAGCACCTGTGCATCAAAACCAAGAACGCTAAAAGGCTTTGAGAGGCTTTGAGAGGCTTTGAGAGCCTGAAGTTACCCCTTTCCTTTTCTGTTCTTTGTTCAACTTTGTTCCTCTCGTTTCTCTTCTTGTTGTGCTCCCCTGTTAATTTTTGGCTATGGTATGTTCTTTCGATGCAAAGAAAGTAAGATCCGAAAGCACGCAAAATGTGCGTTCATGTGTGTTCCTTACGACTCGCCGGCCTGTCCCGGGTGGGCAGCGGCTGCGATGCGAGCGGTGCGGTTCACTATGGTGCCAAAGTAGTCGGCCTCGGCCAAACAGTGGGTACAAGTGGATTAATACGGACACACCGGATACACCAAGCTAGTATCAAACTCCATGCAGTGATGTGCAGTGCATATCAGCTACTTCTTGTCGCAATTGCATGCCCATTCGCTACATTGGCCTCCAAATTCTTGATCCGTGAGTGAGGATGCCATACAAAGAAGGCAAATTAGGACGTCTTCGGCACATGTTTTACAAATTGCAGCGTTTTGCCCTGGTTTCACTTCCTTTGTCAGCCTTTACTTCTTCACCAACAGCACAGCCAGGGAACTCGTCCAGTCGATGCGTGTGGTCTTCTGGATGTGTAGCCACCACTAAGTGCCTCAGAGCATTTCATCAGACTTCAGAAATGGATGCATTTAACGCATGGAACATAAGAGTTCCAAACTGCACTGCTCATATGCCATGGCACTCCTATTGAGACCCGAAGCCCACGAGCCGTGGTCGGACCTATGCTCATTGTCACTGCAGAATGACCACTGAAACTCGACGATACTTCACACGAACTCATCTGCTTGGACATGTGGAGTCATCGTCCGAAGATGGTCCGTGTACCAAAAATACAGTCCACACCCCTCAACAAACCCTAATGGACAGCTTTGACAAACTCTAATTCTGGTGACTCGAACATCAACCTGTCGCGGTTCATGTGTCAGATATCTGTGCCCAGCCTCTTTGCTTGAGACCGTCCGGCCAAGGCAAGTGAGGCAACTTCCTCTGCAGGAGGATCGAGAAGACGGCGGCATCCACCATGTTGGCAAATGCCAGCCTTGTGAGTGAGTGTGGAAAGCTTCACAGGTATGTACGTCATTTCGTCACCTGCGGAAATCTAGTATTTTTGCAGAAAAGGTGCATGAATGCACCTTCGTCTTCTTGGCATTCATATCCACTCCCGTCGCCCGCATTTCGGAGCACTTCCCGCAAGTAGCCACGCCTGCGGAAACACGTGAAAACCGGATGTCTGATGGTTTTTGGGTCTCAGGTGTGTCTGGTTCGGGGTGGACGACCACTCTAAGGCTCTGACAGAAGCCCAAGTGATTGGCTTGCAAGCATTGGATCAGTGGCGACCAGTTCACGAGCCCCCTGGGTGAAAACGAAGCAGAGGGTGATGGATGGCCTTGGACTCCAGGAATCTCAAAGGGTCTCAAACTCAGACTGTCCGTAGGTGCACTGTGACAGCTAAGAATCAGGCCCTGCAGGAGACTCCACAAACCCTGGTAGGATTTGTTGCTCGCTGTCTATTGGAGGAAAGACTCGACCACCAGTGAAGGTAGATGCATCCGCAGAATCCTCACCTCACCAGAAAGTCATCCGGCTAACTGATTTTCACCAACAGCATCCGTTTAGTCATTCAATCTCCTTGTTCGCTGTCAAGTCGCACGAATATGCGTGAGCCTGCTCATGTGCCACTAGTTGAATTAATTGCACTTTCGCACGGCCCGCACATCCAGTTCTGGATGCATCTTCTGTCAGGCCATGCCCCTCCAAAATGTGCTCTCCCAGGTCAACAACCTTCAGGGTTGATTTGAAGGCCAACAAGAGCTTGTGAAAAGCCGAAATGACCCCTTCTACCTATCCGTTGAATGGGTGGGAAGTTACTTGAATACGGTTTGAACAGTGGCAGTTTCACGAGAGCGACTCCATCATGATTTGGTTGGGATGTTGTGGCCTGGGGACTGCCAAGCACAGTCAGCAAGCCATCAATCAGGTAGAAGCTGCTTGCAGACAAAATGATCTGCCCTCCGTGGCAGACGCCCTGATCAGGGCTCTAAGTGTCTTGCTCTTGCACACTGGGTCCGTGAGATGACCACCATAGGCCGTTTAGGCATGGAAATAGTTCTCAAAAAATGTCAAACGTTATGTCATGGATGCCCATCGTTCATGTGAGACTTTTGTAGACAGGCCTCAATCGCCTTGGCCATAGCTACACTTGGTCCTGCATATCTCCAGCGGCCAGTAACCTTCCGAACGTTGACTGCATCAACAAGCATCCATAAACTGGAAGCACTCATATATATATATATATATGCTAACCCCCCCCCAAAAAAAAACAACGTTTTCAAACAAATTTCTTGCTTGTATGTGAGAGTTGTCCTTGATGGTAAAGCAGATGTATTGAAAGCAGATTTGTTCTTGATGGCCAAGCAGATGTACAACAGATGAAGCCTTTGGATGCAATGGCACAAACAGCTCACTTTGCCTTGCAGATCTCATCAGCGATCAAAGTGCACTACGCTGTTCTTAGGAAATTTTTCATTTCCCAAGTGCACACGCTACCCAAAGATCTTTCTGTCTATACCAGCACAGGTACTGCGCCGAACGCAATTTGGAGCGAAGGCGCTTCAAGCCTGCTGTACAGTTCTGGTTCAAGACAATCCGATCATTGAGATATCGCCAGGCCCGGTCGATGACCTGAGTGCCGGCTTTGACCTTCAGAACCGTCTTAGTGACAGGCACTTTGTGCGTAGCAATACGAACATACTTTTCAAGCTGCCACCTCCACTTGCCCTTGACCTTGATGTGCTTCTGCAGTGCACCACATTGTCGTGCAAGACGCCAGGGACTCGGGCTCGATCGGCATCTGTGTGAAGGATCACCTTTTTGTTTTGAAGCCATTTTTCGGCAATGGGTTTCCATTCCACTTTCCGGATGGCCCCTGGCCCTGGAGCTCGAGCAGCAGCCAATGCAGGCGTCAGACGATGGAGCACAAGAGTCTCGGGGTGTCCACGCTTCACCAACCCACACCATTGCTCCCACAAGACACACTTGGATGGGTCTGGAGCATCTGTTGCTAGGTCTTTCCTGTCAAAAGTGGCTTCCTCAGCCTCCACATCGCTCCAGGGCTTTCCAGCCCCGAAGTCAATCTCCTTTTCCTTTGTCTCCACCCATTTCATACGCAAGTCGCAGAGAAGAGTCTCCCACTCTTCAATGACCTTGTGATTGACGCCCAAGAGCCGGTGAATGATGGTGGTATATATACCCCACCTTGCTATTTTTTATATACCCTACCTTGCAAAAACACTGGCAGGCTCAAAAAATCAAACATTTATACACCCCCCAGACCCCCCATAGATCCTAAAACTTTTGTTATTTTTTATTTGTTTGAGCCTGCCAGGGTTTTGTGACTAGGGCCTTTTGAAATTTTGGCGTTTTTTTGAGCCTGCCAGTGGTTTTTTCAATTTTTGGTCTACCCCACCTTGCAAAAACGCTGGCAGGCTCAAAAAAATCAACTCCCCCAGAGCCCCCATAGATACCAAGATTTTGATGTTTTTTATTTGTTTGAGCCTGCCAGGGTTTTGTGACTATGGCCTTTTGAAATTGTTGATTTGTTTGAGCCTGCCAGTGTTTTTGCAATGTTTGGTCTACCCCACCTTGCCAAAATGCTGGCAGGCTCAAAAAAAATATACCACCAGTATATAGTTTATATTAAATATATATATATATATATATTTGATCAGATGTAGGAGGATGTTCATTTAGCATTTTGGTCAGACGCCACATGCACATTGCAGATTCAGATTTGTTGGTACCCCCCACCTCCCCTATTTGTCTGAAAGTGTTGGTTTTGGGGGGGGTACCATATATATATGTATATACACACAATATAAATATTAAAGTTGTAAATACATCTCTTGCAAGAGAGAGGAATCAGTGCTGTCACTCCACCGTGTTGTGGCACACACTGCATGCTAAAAATGAAGTTTACCATTAAACAATTGCTTTGGCAATGGTTTGAGCCTTTTTCCCTTTGCCTTTGTTTTCAACTGTATGGTGTCTGGCCGGCCTCATGTTTGGTGACAGAGGCTGGCCGCCCTGAGTGCAGACCCATACGCACGCGAAGGCCTCTCCATGCATCATCACTGGCCTTGGAAGCGTAAGATTGAGTGAACGATTACAGCACCCGTATAGAACCGCTCGTTTGATGCCTTCGTCATGATCACCTCCAACAGTGCAAATCCCTCTCAAAATCTGGTTGACATTGAGTATTTCTCAGCATGCTGCAGCAGCATCTGGGTGCGATAGTGTGGCAGCTGGCCAGTCACAGCGCAGCAGCTCTGCCTAACAGAGTGTAAAAAGCGCAGAGCTATGTTTGTCTTTGTCTGACATGTTCTGCGAAGAGCGACCAACAATCAGAGCAAAAAGCGAGCAGCCCTGGCGGGGAAATCCGATGAACTCTATTATATACTCTATTGCAGCAGCATCGTGTCAATCAAAAGTTCACCTGAAAAAGTGCTCATGAAACTCTGGCCTGTGTGTCCAAGCAGAAAGCCACTGCATCGCACGTGTCATGAAAGGCAATCTGGAAAGCGTCTCCTTCTGTTGTCACCTTAAGAGGCAACAAAAAGGGCGGCATGCGCAGAACATAACAAACACAGGGATTCACCGACACCCGCACCAATCTCGCCTCATAGCCACTATGCTTTGCTAAGACCTGTCGAATGGTCGCATCGTGAAGCCTCAATGCCAGTTCCATGGCCCGAGGATTGGCTTCCCAAAGAGACGTGGAGCCTGACAGCTTCGCACAACCTCCTAGCTGCTCCCGCGTGTTTTCAAACCACCCTACAAAAAATGATATTTTGGTGAAACATGAACGTTATGGCCTCTATTCGTCTATGGCCTATTTTGCTTCTTCAGGTTCCCTGCCTTGCACGTCTGTGAAAACCATTGTAAAGTCGTCCGTCTTCCCTTGAGGAGGTTTGCTCTTCGCGGTGATGGCCAACCGCTGTCTGGGCGGAGCCTATCGATGGAGCTCAAACAGTGGTTTCATAATTGTCAAGACCAAAACATCCAAATGCAATCAAATTGGTCAAGGTTGCATAATTAGAGACGACATGATATGATCAGAAACACTGGGCCTTTTGAGAGACTGGCCGCTCAGGTCTTGTCCCAGCTCCTGTGGGACTGATCTCTGCGATTTTGGTCACCACCATATCCTCGATCCATAAATAGTTGTGAGTTTACACAAATCCTGTCAAACATGTGTATATATACATATACATGTGCATATTACATATTGATTGATCATATCAACTCTTCCATTCAAGCTCGGCCAAGCTTCTGGGAGCCGGTCTTCTTCATCCGGACGGAGCCCAGAGCTCCAAAGCTGATCAAAGCTGCTTCTGGTGGTACTGTCAGGACCTCTCCAGATTCACGAGAACAAATCCAGCAACAGCAGTCATCACTACTTTTATCAGAATGCGGACATTTTAAACATTTTGATAAGCTGGTAAACTATGAGCCACAACTACCAGTTCTCATTGACTCATACTGCAACAGCAAAATGTCCATACTTTTGCCCAGATCAGGAAATGGCCTCCATAGAGATGGGTTCCAGTGTATGTGCTCTTGTCATCAAAGAATCGCACATAGTCTGCTTGTGTACCGGCATGCAAAACGCCCTCTGATTCTGCAACACGACGAAAAATGTAATCCTCATCGACTCCCTTCTTTTGCGCGATCATTCCCAGTGCCACTTCAAACTGATGCAAGGTGATCCGACGGTGACCCTTGGTAACCACTTTTGCGAAGACCAGGTCTACGTCGATCTGCGTGAAGATGTTATCCACAATTTCACAATCCTTGCACAGCTTGACGAAGCTCTTGCCATCCAAGTCAGGTTTGTTTGCACAGTAGGCTCTGAAAGTATCCTGCAAAGGCAAACACAACAAGTTACTGCAGTAATTCATACTTAGCAACGATAAGGACAAATGACAAGTGCAAAACGACTCATAATGAGTACCACTACCAATTGAATAGATGTTACATGAATATTGCCAACCTCCACTGTTCCATCTTTTCCCCGCAACTGCTGGGCAATCTTCTTCTCGCTGAGGCTTCCCGCTCGACCCGCGATCCGCTTGTCTGAATCGAGGATTGTTGACATTGTTGACCCAAGTGCCGGCAAGCTCATCACCGTCTCAAAGGGATCCCTTGGGGAATTGGGGACAGTTGAGCTGGTCGGTGACGTTGAGGACCACGTCCTCATCCAGTTTCTGTTGTCCAAGAGTCTCTGAAGAGGATTGTGTTTTGGTTCTTTCATGTGTCTTCCATGTTCCAAGGACGCTACTAGGAGCAAAGGGCATCGCTACTAGGAGCAAGGACGCTACTAGGGGCTCCTGGCCTTACTAGTAACAAGAAGCTATTAGGAAAAAAAATTAGAATTAGTATCCATTTCTCCCTTTCAATCGAAGTGAACTGAGAGCTCGACAATGTGCCCCGGCCTTTCCGGCCAGGGTCTGGCCCTCCCTCCTTGTGCGTTCCAGTGTAGGTGCTCTTGTCGTCATAGAAGCGCACGGTTTCTGCTTTTGTGCTTGTGAGAACAGGCCCACCACAACACCTAGAACGGCATCACTTGCCATCCCGGGAATATAGAGCGCTCACAAAACAAACACCCAAACTCCAGACCTTACTCTGTGGAATACCAACAAATACATGCGGATACATAGAACGTACAGCCACAAGTGCACCTCACATGAGACCATACGTCTTCCAGCGTGGTATTCTTCTGCTTTGCGATGAGCTCCAGAGCTGCATCAAACTGCTCCAGCCCAATGCGCCGGTTTCCCTTCCTTGGCACAGAACATACAAAAGAAAAGTGCTCATACAAGGATCTTCAGCCTGCTAGAACCACCAAGTTGGCCAAGAGGCTGAAGCACCTTGGCAAAAATGATGTCAACATCGGTTTTGGTCAATGACCTGTCTACCATATTGGCATCCTGAACAAGCAGAATAGGCCACAGTTGAGATTGCACAGCGGGTTCTGAAACTCGACGCTGCAACAAACAAGTCTTGCAAAGTCCTTGCAAAGCTTTGCAAAGGTCTTCCCATCCATGCCTCCCACAAATTGCCATCCGACAAAACATCAATCAAACAGGTCATTCATAAGCCCAGCCCTGCCTGGCTTGATGCCGCAGAAGGCCTTGAAGGTTCTTTCCACAGTTCCCCATGCCCGAGGAACTTCGATGTCTTCAGTTTCTTCTGATATACTAACACCTCATGGAGCTGCAAAATCAATGGACGCGGCATAAAGTGCATGGCATTAAGATCAACTTTGCAATTGGACTGGGCATGGCACGGCGGCGACTTCTTGCCGTCTCACTACTGTAGTTGCTGCAGGCAGAGACACTCGGCGGTGAGTGCTCATCATCGGTACCTCGGTACGGCTTCTGCGAAGCTAAGAGCTTTCGCACCGGAGAGCGCACATTGAGCGAAAGCTCTGAGCTTCCGTGCCACTTGGAGATGTCTGTGCGGCACCTGAAGACGTCTGCAACTGAATGAGTTTTCGTCATGATGTCTGAGTGTGACTGAGCTGTGCACAGGCTGGTGATCGCGGGGTCGTTTTAGCCCGGCTTTCAGCAGACTTTGCCGTTTCCACCTTAGAGGTCAACCTCATCAACCTGTTTTGATTCGTTATTACGTGATTCGTAGAGATTCTACATGAAGTGTGGTAACTCTCATCAAAGGCACAGAGCTGCTCCTGGAATTGACACCCAATCGCGGTGGCAGCAACAAAGGCGACGATTGAGCCTCGCAAAGACCCATGAAAGAAACTTGTGACCACAGAACGAAGAGAGATTGACAGGTTCTCCCTTTTGTGGACGGATAAGCACCCTTCAACGGTCTTGCAGGGCGTGGTTCTCCCGAAAAAGGCACCAAGAACCAAAAGGCTGCCAGCCTGTTTCTTCATCAATGTTCTTCGTCGCGCAAGTTCAGCACCAGCAGCTGTCTTTGGTTGTGGTGTAGGAGATGTGTTTCGCATTCCTGACAAAGGCAGTGTCCTTCCATCAACATATTCCTAGATGTGCTTCCTTCAGGCTGACACGATGACTTCGGCGAAACACGTGTCACTTTGTCCCTGTCCAGAAAGTGGCTCGGAGTGCGTTCCACATTCCACAATGGCACCTTGGTATGCAATGGGTTATGTTGCTGAAGGCAATGAATGGGCCAACCATGCTTGCAAATCTGCAGGCAAGCTGCTTCTTGTGACAGGCTCACATATCAACGCCTGAAAGCATCTATATATGCTATGCCGCCTAGCTCATAGTGGTGCAGGTTCCCGAACAATCGGGAAGCCACGTGACACGACGCGGCATGTGAAATCTAGACTTTATCACACCTCATCAGAGTCCTCAGGCAGACTCCGTGAACGCACAGGGACGACCTGGCAAAATATGCGAGCATGATCCAATCCAAGAAATCAGTGTGCTCTTCCAAAATGAGGGCGAGCCTAAAGGCAAAGTGGGATTTGGAAGAATGTGCAACGAAGAAAATGTTCAATCATTCCAACCCATGCAAGCACCGCCTTGTCCGGGCTCCGGTTGACACTTCTGGAAGGGCTGGGACTAGTCCTGGAGCCGCCCCGATCTGGACAGCCAGGGAGCCGCCGTGGGAGGGCCTCCTGGCAGTGTGTGCAAGCGCTAAGTGGCACTAAATGGACATTGCGAAGTGGCTCAGAATACTGCAGGATCCAAGAGTTTTTGTTGTCTGAGAAAGAAAATGTCCTATTGAACCTGGGAACTGTCTCTTGCAGCGAGGGTTCTTCAAGAAAGCTTCTCCCACCCCTGAGGCCAGGGGAAGCTTCCTTCAAGAAGCACGACTTTTCTTGCCTGTTCCCTGCTTCAAGCAAAAATAAATAGATCGGCAAATCCAGGTCTTTGGGGTCCGTATCTCTTGCTAACTTCTCCACACGTCTCCTTGTGCTGCAGCGGCTTCACCTCACCAGCCATGGTCATGCTCCTAAATCTCCCGACCAAAAACAACTTTGGGTTGCCTCAACTGGGCTTCCGGTTTGGAAATCAAACAAGATAGTGCAGCCCCAAGATGGAGCCACCCCACAAGCAAGAATTTAAACAGGAAGAAGATGCAGATTTGTTTCAGAATAATATGATAAAATGAATTCACAGGTGGTTCTTTTCCAAGGTGCCCTGCCTGGACGCACTGTACTGTAACCTGACCGGACACTTCGTCCGTTTCGTCACGGTTTCGTCCGCTTCGAAGCAAACAACCGTGGCGTCCGCTTTCGGAGCTCCGAGGCTCCAACTGCAACTTGTGGCCGCATGGATGGAGCGCTGGAGCCCCTCTACCGACAATGCTACCAAAACCCACGCGGCGAAGTGAAATACGCCGTGCACAATTGTTTGCACCTTTAGTTGCCTTCAGTCCAATTGCAAAACACTGTGAAAGAAAGACTCAGAGTCCAGATGAATGTTGGAGGAATAGTTGGTTGGTGTCTGTTCCTGTTGTCAGTCTCACATTCCTATTCCGGGTCCTTTCACTCGATGTTCCAAACAAACCAACACATCCCCAGCAGACCCATAACTTTTGTTTGGCATCCGCTTGCTTTGCTTCTGCAGGCTCTCAACCTTGCAGCACAGCAATTTATCCACTGGCTGCCAAGTGCTTCCAAGTTTGGGGCCCAGGGTTTCAAAGCTTTGGAGAGCTCTGCCTGCGCAGAAGAATTTAAAGTTTGACATTCCTAGAGCAAAGGATGCAAATGACTCTGCAAATGAAAAGAAATCCTGCCGTGCCTGGAAGCCAAGCCAATCGGGTGCTGCCCCAGAGCGCTGGCTGTAGCGGCAGATTGCCTCCACCTCTTCAGACCAGCAGCGAATGTCCATCGGCGTATCCCTGGCCAAACCAAAAAGAGCTTCCTAAAGTGCTCTACAAAAGAAAACCTTTTTTAAGCCAGCCCTTACTTACTTGATTATGTAAGCAAGGAAGTAAGCTACTGGCTACTTATATGAGCTAGTACATATGGACGCAGGATAGCTTGCGCTTCCTCAAGGAAGCTCCCCCGCCTGAGGGCCGGGGGGGCTTCCTTGAAGAAGCACTCGCCATAATGAGTTGGTTCCTGGATTCTTACGAAAACTTAACTCCTGTGGCTTTGGCTTTCCCTTTGGCTTCCCCACCTCCGAAGGATCCTGCCAAGTGCCGCTTCCAACCTGATATGACCCAGTGCCCAATTCGGTCAACTCAACTTTGCTGCTTGGCTTCCTACCTTGGCACGCACAGTTCTCCAATGAGAACCCAATCCAATACGACAGGCTCATGGGAGAACTCAAACCTGGGCACAAAGACTTCACAAAGACACAACGCCAGTAACTCCAAAAAAAGCATCTGAATTTCCTTTAGCACATGCTGCAAGCTCCCCCCAAAAGCTTGTTACTGCTCACATGAACTGACCTTCAAGGAGTCCAGGTCCTCCCGCACGGCGAGTCCTTTTGCAAACTGCGAGGGCTCGCAACCTCCACTTGATGGAGCCGGAAGGTCCCCGAGTTTCTATGGTACGTTGTCGATATTTTGATGCTCTCACCTAGCTCTGAGGCTGCCTCATGAGAAACTCAAGCTCTTTGATTCGGGCATCCTTCTTGGCGATCTCCACCTCCAAGCGTGAAATATCTGAGCCATACTTCTTGGAGCTTTCAGTCAGTTGCTGTTGCAGCATCTGCAAGCGCTGCTCTGCTGCCAAACAGCGCTGTTCCCACTCGAAGCGCTTCGCCTCCACATGAGCCAACTGTTCTTGTTCTGCCTCACTTAGTGCATGAGGTACCGGATCAGCTGCTGGTGATACAGCTGACACAGCTGCCACTGGAGCTGGAGCTGCTGGAGCCGAAGGGCCCACAGGGCCCTGGAAGCCTTCGCGTGGCTCCTGCAGCCTGAAACGACCATCGGAAGCCCCTGATGCCGATTTCGCCTGAAGCTCAGAGGCCAACTTTTGCAAGCGGGAAATCTCTGCATCTTTCTGTGCAAGGCTTACCTTCAGCTCCTGGGCTTCATCATTGGTGGAATCCTGGCGTTTTTTGGTCAGCAAGCCAGTGCAACGCTCACGTAACTTCAAATTTTCTGTTTTGAGCCTTTCGATATCAACCTGCACTTTTTGCGCCTTTTGAACCTCCTGCAGGGAATTCTCAAGGATCTTCTCCAGTTTGCCAATCACCTTTTCCTGAGTCTTGGCCGTTTGACGGTAGGTCTCCAACTTCTTGCCTTCCTCTTGCAAACGCTGCAATTCTCGGTTCTGTTCCAAGTGCACTTGTTGAAGCTCATCAAGGGAGCGCTCCAGTCCATTGACTCGATTCACCTCCTTGACCATATCCTCCAATCGCCGACCCAATTCGGCTCCTTTGGCTTTCTCCTCTCGGTACTTCTCTACAGTTCTCTGCAGTTTTCCAGCAAGCTCAGCAGCGCTCATGTGTTCTAAACCTTCTGGAGGAGGTCGATGCTGAACGGCTTCTGCAAGCTTTTCTTCATCCTCAATCTGTGAACGCAAAGACTTATTATCGTTCTTCAACACTTGTACTTGCCGCCGGAGTGCGACGATCTCTTCCCCAGCACGCTTCAAGGCTGCCGCTCGTAGATTGAACTCTTTGGAGAGTTGAACAGACAGTTCATGATTGAGCCTGAAGTCCTTTGCTTCTTGCTCCAATGCAACCGAAACTGATCCATGAGCTGCACCTGGAGCGCTTGGAGCAAGAGCTGGGGCCATAGATGGACGTTGTGGCGAGGATGAGACTCCACCTCGTGGCCAAATACGAAGCTCCAGCTCTAAGCAAGTAGATGCACCGGGCGCCTCCAAAAGCCTCAAGTCTGACAAGAAGGACCTGGACATTGGATCTGATCCCGATTGTATCAAAGCAGTGGCATCCAATGAGGCAAAACCAAGTAGTCTTCCACAGAGCGGTGCATCCGGGTCCGTCGATGCGCGGGAGCAATCGAACAGGAGAAGCGCCAAGCTGCGAAGGGCTGCGGGGTTCGCTAGGCAACGGACAACAAACTGGTTCCACTGCGGAGTTTGGGAAGAAGCCGAACCACTTGCCACTGGAGTAAGGAAGCACTTCAAGCCACTTGTGGCTGCAAAGTGCGTTTCTAGAAAGCTCGAGAGCTCAACTCTCTGATCGTAGAAGAACGTCACCATTGGTATCTGCAGGCTCCTGGTATCGAATCCAATGGAGGACTCAGGGCAAATCGCTAATAGAGGATCATCCACAGCGTCAGGCAAAGGTCGGCCAGCAGGTACCCCATGTACCCTGACTTCTACACCATGTGAGAGGCCATCTGCAAGAGCATCCAAGGTCTCATGAGCAGGTTCCCTGGTGATGGACACCACAAGTCCAGGGCGCGGCCGCGAGTATGCAGCAGCAGTGCTTGACGACCTGGCATAAAGATGCACCGGACAAAGCATGGGCATGGTAACTGGTGTCCACTGTAGGTTCAGCAGAGCGTCTGTTGAAACACCATCTGGAGTCCCAGAAACCATCTCCAAGGCAAGTCCAACTAGCAACCCTGGCGACGCTGATGCTGAGGGCAACGGCACTATGATTTCCTGGTTAAACCAGACTTCCCCAAGCGTGCCGCTGAGCGGTACTGCTTTGAGACTTCGTGAGGCTGTTTCATGCATCACATGCCCTCCTGGCTGCAGCAGTCTGACTGCCACTCGGAAAACACAATGAGAGCTCTCTGCCAGAATTGGCAACGCATCTGCGCGGTGCACAAGCACTCGAAGGCGGCTTTCAAAAGGCCTGGCCTGCCAAAGGGATCTATCTAGGGACGGAGCCAGTGCTGATTCAATCGTGTGTGGTTTCAAAGACTTTGCCTCTTCTGGATTGAGTGCTTTCACCTGCATTACAAGAGTGCTGCGTCCAACAGTGAGCTCTTTGTTCTCCGAGCTTCGAGTAAAACTCACATTCCGAACCAACCTCTTCGACCCCGTCCCGTTCTCCAAGATCTTCAGCTCCTCCAAGCTCACGAGGCCACTGCCCAGAAGCTTGGCTGTTGGAGCATCTGGATTGGAGGGATCAATGACATTCAGAAAAGCAGAGACCCTGAGCTTCTCCTTCACCAAGTCCCCATCTGCCGAAAGCAAAAGAGTGCTGCTGGCAAAAACAGGACGCTCTGCTGGTAAGGAGACATCTGTGCGACGCTTCTCTGCATGGCCTTCCAACTGCACCTCCAAGAAGTATGCAAATGCACTGGCAAACTCACACTCACCTACTGTGATGTCCAGCACCCAACTTGTGGTTATGGGGCCCTTGCTGAGCAAACTCTCATTCTGACGGCGCAGATCGTCCATGGCCTTGCGGCTGTCATCAAGCTCCTGCTCCAAGGCTTCCTTCTCCTTTCGGAGTTGTTCCTCCAATGTTGGCGCATCTGGCGCGGCATCACCACCTTTGGGCGCCTCCGGTCCTTCAGGCACAGGCGGTGCATGCGGTTCGTCTGGTGCATCTGGACCGGCATCATCTCCGTCAGGTGGCGCCCCATCAGCTCCATCGGATTTGGGCACCTCTGGTGGCGTCTCTTCCGCTTCACCGGATTCGGCCGCATCAGGCATTGGCCCGGAAAGGGAAGACTGCGGTCATGCTGAGTGGCTGAAGGGTCGAAACTTGAGGCTCTAGTGGCTTTTCCGCAAAGTGAGGCCCTCAGATGTAACAGTGTGCAGTGAATGCGAGATTGTTTGAAGTTGAGAGCAACTTAAGACTGGAAGTGCAAGCTGAGGGAAGCACACTTCGTGAATTACAGCCTCGGGTTCATGCGATCAATGGGCCTTCCAAAGAATCATGCTGCATTCACGGCAGGCGGCATCTACAGCGATTGCAGCTTCATGCAGCGCATAGAGAAAAAGAGGCGCCCCCGGGTGTAGAACCTTGGTCTTGCGCTTTCAGCAGTCCTTATGTTAATGATTGAATGAACTGTTTGACTGTAGTTGGCTCAATGTGCCTTGGCCCCCCTTTTCCTGAGCATTTTGAGCAAAGGCACATTATCTGCAAAGATGCGGAGTGATGCTCCTCGTAGGGTTGGCAAGACGGCAGCCAAGTCAGAGGCATAACTTGTGGCTCGGTGGTCCAAGACCTGCGCTGTGATTTAGAGAAGCCACAAGGATGTCTCAGCTTGGAACAACTCAGCTGAACAGTTGGAAGCAAGGGCTGAGAACATCTGAGAACCTCGCGATCAGGTTGGCTCGCTGAAACTTTCCCGAAGCTGCCCTGAGCCATGTGGCTAAGTGGCCAGTCAAAGGGTCACAGAAACAATGCGAAACACATCGTCACATCATTTAACCTTCAGTTTGACCTTTCTTACATACACAAGCTCGTTCACTTGGCCACCTTGGCTAAACCCTGCAAATGCCTCAAATGTCTGATATTGCCATCAAAGGCCGCGACGCATCGCCCTAGTCTTTCCCGCTTACAGCATAAGTTGTTGCACACGTTAGGGACATAATTTGCGCCACAAGCCTTTCCTCACAAAAACAGAACTTATTGGTGTGTACCAAGTGGCCAGTCGGTTGCACGGCCGGTGAGAAGGGTCACCTGCATTGAAACTTAGAATGTACAGCAGCATCACTGATGCTAGTGACTATAGTGATAAATCCAAATCCAGCTCTTCATTTCACCTTGAAGAACATAAAGAAAATGCTCAATCCAGACTGCAAACTGCAATGAGCACCATAAGTATCCCCAGCTGAGTAATGGACAAAATCCATGGTTGTAGGGACCTATTGACGTGGGAGATAGCCCTCTTTACACTACTTTTACATAGAGGAACCAGCGGTGCCACCGAATCAAACCAGTTCAATGTCCAATCCTCAGCTCAGTTCTTCTCATCCTCAGCGGCCTCCTGCTGCCTTGGTGCGGCCCACTGCACCAGTTTTTCAGCAATGAGCACAGTAGCCGCATCTTGATCACAGGTGGTCCTGAGATCCCCAGAGAATAAAGAACTTGCTGAGAGTGGGCAATGAAAAACAAAGAACGAGAGAGAGAGAGAGAGAACTGAGAAGTAGTCGATCGTTTATAGTATTTTGTGCTCTCTGTTCTATATAAGTATACAGTAGTCTAATTGTGATGATTCTTGCCCAAAGCATTGGCATTCACTTTGCCAGGGCTCACAGAACCTCCACCTCCAAGTCTTCGTAGTTGCTGAAGCAACAAGAGAGCGGAATATCCCACGTAGCTGCCAAACCTCAGGCTGCAATGGAAGGCAAACCAAGGATCTGGATATCATTTTCCTAAAACTCCCACAGACGTTCTGCGTCTACTTTTTGGTGTTAGCGCCTGCGTCTGGCTCTACAATCTGTGATTCCGAGAAACTCCACAACTGCATCCCCAGGACGGAGACAGTTTTGTAGAAGCCGTGCTTTCGACCCTCCAAGAACCTGCCAGCACAATTTCACCACCCTGTAAACACGAACAAGCTTTTGGTCGCCTTCAACCACTTCACCTTCTGCGCAAAATCTTCTACTGCATGAAGAGCTGCATCCAAGTCCCCCCCGAGGAACCTGTCCTTGCACATACCTCGAAAAAAAGTCAGAACGTGTTTTCGAAGATGCTAAGTTGGGACATGCTTCCTACATATCCAGCCCAGGTGCGACAAAAGTTCGATCTCCTTCCAAGATCGCAAACGAACCCATGGTGGTGGAAATGGGCGCTTCACCCCAGATGCCTCGAAAGACAGGACAAAGAGCAGAAAGCCAAGCTGCCAAGCCGTGGAGTCACAAGCCACAGTGGAAAAATGATGTCGGTGCAAGTGTGTGCTCGAAGTCCTGGCCTGGCAGGCCCAAACCACAACACTCCAAAAAGAGCCTCGTCGATCAGAGATCTTCCGACCTGTGGACTTCAACAAAGCGAGTCTTTTCCAACACGGACACCGCAACAATCCGCAACACGGCCACCTCGGAGGATCGTTTGTAGCATCAAAATGCGTTCCCATTGCCCAGCACCCAGGGCCCTGGCAGCAACAAACAGCGTTAAAGAGCGCACGGAGCCCAGAGCTCAGATGTCCAGCCTTGCAGCACAGCGAAAATCCCCAAGTTCGGGCTGAAAGCCTGCTGCCTGGGCGAGAATCTGTGTCAGGTGTCTATATTTGTTTCTGTGATATCATGGTAGATGCACCTCCATGTCTTCGAGCAGTTGAATGGCACCGTGCCAAAAGCCTCCATGCTCACAAGCGTTCAAGGCAGTGGTGTAACTGACCTCGGCTGAAAAACATGAAAGGGAGAACGCTGCACTATGATTGTTGTTTTCTTCTAGGCACAGCGTTTGGAACTTGAAGCTGACGGAGAACAGAAAACGCCAACATCCATCTGGTTGATTTCACGCAGGCATGAGCTGCAGCGTTGTAGGTCCTCAGCGCATCAATTCGATCTCCTGTTGCAGTCTTTGAAGTCTTGGGCTTTCAAATATCAAGGGTGAATGGCATGCATGAAGCACCAGACACTTGCCACGACAATGTCTTGCTCAAGCTTTCAGAACGAGTCACACCACACTCTCAAATCGGCCACGGCGAGCCACCTCCGGTAGGTGCACCCAATCCACTTCAAGGACACAAGGGCCAACAGAAGTGCAAGAAGAACCACATGCAAACGCAACAGGCTGCGTCTGGCTTGGCCGCCTCGAGCCATCCCAAAGCGTTTTCCCAGCGACTTGTGCGGGCATGGGCCCCGACAATGGCATTGAGGCAGCCACCAGAAGGTTGCATTGATCTGAGGTGTGAAAAGCAGGTCAAACGAAGGACGACATGACAACAGTGAAAATTGAAAGGCAGAATTCTGCTGAGACAGGATCTCAAGTGCGGGCATCTGATCAATGCAAACAATTACAATTACAAAGTTCCCACATTGCACTGAGCACAGAAAATTATGGTTAAAGTTCAAGCGGTTGTGTGCGTGTGTGGATCGTCCAATCACATCATTGCAAGCTAAACACAAGGAGACCTGAAAGGTAAATTAAAAATGGGGGCCCGGCCTGTCTTCTGAAAGCTGGAGTAAGGATACAGCCCTCTCCCAGAGTGACACTCGTTCACACGCTCGTGCGCACATTGCAAAGCCTGGAAATCCAAGTGTGAGGGCCATAGGCATGGGATCAAGTGCGCCATTGTCAAAACTCTTTGTGTGTAGATAAGAGTGGATGGCCATCCCTTCCAAACCACTACAGCCAAGTGTTTCGACCAGGGCACATTTAAGAAAAAGAACACGAGCTTTGTATGTGTATGGTTGTGCTTGCCACAAGCCGTTTTACCTCTAGCTGAGCTGCTCAACTCATCGGGATGTACCTGATGCTGCTCCATTGTGGCAAGCAGTTGCAGTGCGGCCACCCAAGCATTCCAGCCTCCAATGATTGTTGGAGCTATGCTTCCGAGAAAGCAACATAGAGATAGAGAGATGCAGAGACAAATACCCTGGCAAAAGAAAGAACAGAACGGAAGCTACTAGTAGCTCCTGGCATTGCTACTAGTAACAAGAAGCTACTAGTAACAAAGGGCATCGCTACTCGTAGCAAGGACGCTATTAGTATGCACTGAATGCGAAAGAACCGAACGATCCTTGAGGGCCGCCACCAGCAGCTTCAACACAAGCGCGCAAAGTGGCGTTGCACAGGGACACATCCACTGTGTCAATAACACCTGCCCAACCACACAGGCAGAAAGGATGTTACCTCCAAAATCCCAAAATGCCTGCATCTGACTCCACTTGCTGAGCTTGTGCCAGGACCTGACACAAATACAATATTACAGCACTTACTGCTCAACCTCTGCATTTGTATCAAACGAAAAATAGAATTGCTTCAAAAAACACAAGCAAAGGATGTGTCGTTACCGGTAACAGTGGATGTGGATGATGATGGTTAGTAAAGGCCGTTCTTTAATGTTCTTTATATAAAAGTTATAAAAGTGATAATTGTTTGCCGACTGTTACAGGTAAGAGGACAAACCCAAGGTATGTGGTTTATATAACGGTAATATTGATAGTGTTGGCTTTGTACGTGCTTCCATTTACTTGTTCAAGTTCCAAGCGATACTCAAAGCCGGTAGCAATGTCCTGGCCTCCACTGCCAAACGCCAAGATGCAGCACGCCCTGTCGCCACTGCTGCCGCGGTAAACGCCACAGCATTCGGCCGACCTTTTCAACACAAACATTAGTTCAGCCTGGCGCCTTGGAAGCTAACTGAGTAACTGAGAGGCGCACTTATCGTGGTAAAGATCTCCTCAAATGACAGTGGAGTGAAGTATGACAGAGCGTCTCTTGAAAAAAATGCCTTCAAAAGAATCTTGGTTCCGTCTGGGCGACAATCTGGCAAACGACACTGATTACTGATTAGTGGTTCCGGGATTTGAGCAGTCGTCTTCCCTAGCTTCCATGTGCTTGTAAATCCCGAAATCAAAAACATGAGAAGCCTATTGCACACCCACAATCCGACCACTTGACCAAAGCTATATTAGACACGGAGTGGGGTGTGTCACTGTGTTTCTGTGTGTTTGCTCCAAGCGGCCAGGGCCGTCTGCCAGCGACTGGCTAGAGCACAGGCCCTGACAGCGGCTGCTCGGCCCAGGGAGTCGACGGCGTGGTCTTGAAGCCTCAAGCAAATGCTTGAAGACCAGTGACTCAGGAGCCCCTACTAGCTTCTTGTTCCTAGTACGGCCAGGAGCCCCTAGTAGCGTCCTTGCTCCTAGTAGCGATGCCAGGAGCCCCTAGTAGCGTCCTTGCTCCAGGAATGACTTCTCTAATGCTTTGTTGTAACTGAACTCATGTATTCTTGCAAAGTGTCCTATGGACATGTAAGAGGCTTGTCCTGCTGAGATAGGGAGCGATGACGCCCACGACTCATGGAATATTGAGGGACACCATAGTTCTTTCTAGACTCTGGCAACTCAGAGCTCACAAGCTTCTAGATGCTGATGCCACCCACATCCGTGCTTATCATGCTATCATGTTGTCAGTCAAGCAACAATGCCAAAGCATGGCGCCAGCGTGCAGCACGTGCGCAAGCAGCAAGGGCGACACCAATAGCCCTGGCATCTGGAGCGAAGTGCTTCAACAAGAGCAGCGCAAACTGCCACCTCTCAGGCACTGTCAGGGATGAGAAAGTTGTTTTCTCATCCAAGTTGATTGGTGAGGTGGTTTATTTCCTGTGCGTCCGTTGCTTGCATTGCTTGCTTTGCTGCATCTCTAAGGTCTGCGCTCTGAGGCTTTCTCCTCAAGCAACTTTCAGCTTATATCAGCACTGCGCAAGAACGAGATCCTTTGCCAGTGACAAGTACACGGAGAGTAAGAACTTTAGGTCCCCCGCGCAGGCATTCATAGCAGCTGTGAAATGATGCATGTGTACTGTTGACTTCGTGTCCACCAATTCCTCACAAAGAAATCCATATCAGTGCATATTCCTGCGCTTGTTTCAAACTTGATACACGTTGACTATTGCTTGAAGCTGTACCTAACTCTTGGGTCCCAGCGTGGAGTACATTCAAAGCGGCCCGCCAAAGCTGCCTCTGCCCCAGAGCTTTGAGGCGAGCTGTAGTCTGGCTCATGGGACCAAGACATGCGATTGGTAAGGAGCGAGTGCATCACACTGAAGCTGATTAAAAAGTCTCCGCGCTGCACTTGGGCCAAAGAGAGATTCCAGAGTGAGGGTCTTCAGGAGTGCGGGTGCCAACTTGATCGCACAGGGCAAGAACGTGTCTCTTCCCTGCTGGACCAAACCTTGCTTGTTTCTGCCGTGCTTGGGTTCGAGTGAGGCATCCTAAAACTTTCTGCCTAAAGCAGAGGCACTGAATTGGCTTGAATTCACAGATGCTGTTGGCCTCAGGGACATGTCGGAATAGTTCTAGAATCCAAGTCTTCCGCTTGTCATGAGGACTCTGAGACCAGCACTCAGGGCGCAGCGCCATCTATTTGAACAGGAGGTAACTGCACAAGTTTGCTTGCTCAACTCTCTGCAATCGAAAATGACCCAAATCACAAAGCGAACAAAATCAAGAGGTGCAAAAAGCAATTGGAAAGGAATTGAGGCATAGAACAAAAGAGGGGCGGGTCTGTGTTTAAGGCACGTCTGAGACGGCAAACCTTGAGAGCGGCGCGTCTGCGCTCAGTGTCCTCACCTTGAAGAACTGCAACCAGACGAGGACACTGTGCGCAAAACAGCGACCCGAGTTGCGACAAATCAGGTGCCCCAGCTGCAAATCTCACGCAAATATGTGGCCTTCAAAGCAAAAATTGTGCAGTGAAGGCGGGCAGGTAGGTGTCTGAGTTCAGTGCCCAAGTCTGGAATTCTGTGGCATCATTAAACCTACACGGAAAGACATTATATAATGAACTTTGCAGATTGTTGAGCTTTGCCGTTGCCAGCCTCATCACCAACTCAGGTGCCTCACGGATGGGTTGAATCTACGCCAGAATGTCTTTCGATTTTTTTTTTCCAAAAAGGAATGTTGCATGGCATGGCACGGCATTAAAGCCATTGCTGGATGAAACTCTCTAGCACCTCCCCTCGTCCCGCAACACTGCCAGCAACAATGTGCAAAAGAACAGGCGCAGGCGCAGTTTGAGGTAAATACTCCTTAGATTTGCTGTTTGCTGTAAATACTCCTTAGGCTCTGCCTCTAGAACCTGGAAGCGGCCATCACCGAGAAGCAGGCAAAGCCTCCACTCAAGATGTTCCAAGGGAGGAACACATTTACTCAACGAAGTCTCAAACTTCCTGGCATCCTCTCATGCAACCTATGTGCATGCAGAATGGAGTCACTGCGATCGCATCATGCGTGTCTGGGCCGCAGGCTCCAACCAGTCGTCATCTACCATGGTCTGCAAAGTAATCGAATCCAATAGACCCAAAAGCTGAGATGGTCAACACATGTCATGACTCTGAAGGCCAGAAATAAAGATTCAGCTCAAACGCTTAGTTGCTTAGCTTCTTAGCTTCCAGCTGTGGGCCACTCGCCCTCAACGCGACCTAGTGATCTCATGGAGCGATCCAAGAGGAAGAGGCTAAGATCCGAGACCTTCCTTGAAAAACAAGAAAAAATAACATATTAATATGATACAAATCAGTCTTGTCGTATATAATAAACCCATGTTGCTCCCAAAAAATGCTTTCCAAGGTGTTTCCAGCCGGCTGAAAAGAATGCATTCTTGTAAACAAGGGGTAGCAAAGTTGAAAACTACACAGGTCTATGATCGTCTAATTGTCTATGACTCTATGACCCTATAAAAAATAAAATCAATAGTGCAAAATGTGTTCGAAATGTCTAGACTAGACCTGAGACCAAACCAGAAGTCAAAGATTAACGCGTCTTCCAAGTCTTCCATGAGTAATAAAATGCGTGTCCTTTTGACACATCTTTCCGTCTCCACCTGAGGATTCAGCGAGCCAACACAATCTGCAGGACGCGTACATCTGCACGAAGCAATGCTGCTTTCCTTGCCGAGAGGTCGCTGATTGGAAAAAATGCAAATTGCAGGTCAGCCCCAGTTGAAAAAACAAATGACAGTCCCGACTCAATGCAAGGAGCACAAAGTTCCGGCTCAAAACGGGACGAGGCCAGGACTTTAGGGACACAAAGGCAAAGGGCGCTGATTCGTCGGTGGGAGCCAGAAATAATAACCTTGCTGATTCGTTGCTTAGGGCACTTGTCACACATTTCATTTCGAAGAAACATTGGAAAACTGACGGCCCCGGCCATTGGTGCAGCCGTAGCCAGGTCATTTCCTCCTCCAAGCGCGACCTTTGAGACCAGGGTGCATAGTGACATCAGGCCTAGACCATGAAGAGACAAAGAAGGTGCCAAAGAAAATCCAAAAGCACAAAAGGAAAAATATATATATATATACAAAACATACTTTAGGAAAACACCAGCAGAAAGAGAGTAAGGAAAAAGGTAAAGGATCTCTTTGATACGGCCCCTCTTTTTTGGACCTGTCAGGTAGCATTCTCAGTCAGACCTGCTGTTTCACCAGCATCAAAGGTTCGTGCCCACCGGCATCAAAGGGTTGAGCGAAGGTGGTCAAGGGAGGCCTGTCGTACAACACCACACAGTCACCCTGTGGTCACCTTGAACATGGATTGATCGGGTAAAGAACATGAATGCAGTAAACAACACATGAGCTGCACATGCACCTTTTGTGAGGCCTGTCAGCACCATGGGGCTGTGGAGACATCCTGAATCGAGGTGCAACAAAGCGAGACATCCTGGGGCATTGCCGCAAATATGAATACAATCTGCACGAACCAGCCTTCCAGCTGCAAGCACCCCACCCTCTGCTGCTAGCACATGCGGAGAAGCCTGGATTAAAAAGACTACCTTCAGAAAATGTAAGGGCATGGGCGGCATGGGGTTGAGCCTCAAAGGCCAGCCTGGAAGGCCTTAGCAACCCTTTTGTGTCCCTAGTTATCATCCTATCAACACCGCATAATAGGGTCTTGTGGACACTTTCCACCCTGATTATCTAGCTGCCGATGCTGCCCACGCACGAAGATGTACAAAGCAATAGCATCTTTTGTTCAGGTGTCCGCAAATTTTGCCGCAAATGATGCTCTTCCGAGGAACGAACTACCCGAGCTCCAGCAATATCGCTTCGCTCTGCTTAGTAATCATAAGTGTGTACATACCTAATATACATACATATAACATATACATATTATTATATCGATATACTTTTACAAGAGATCTTCTCTAGCTGACTTTGACCATGCAAAAAAGCAACCCGCGGTGTCTTTTGTTGTTGAGAATCAAGAACACTGCCTGTGGCCAATGAGCCAGATCTCCATCCGTCTGTGGGCGCCCATGAAATCGAACGAAGGCCTCAGAAACATCCGTCGCCGACTCCGCCTTTCCGCGCTGGGACTCTTGAGACTCGAACGGCACTGTGCAGAGTTGGTTCTGATGGCTTGAGTTGGTTCGCTTTGCTCGCAACCTCCAAAGAAAACTTGCCAAACGCTCCCATGCCACAACCACACTAGCCTGGAGGGCCAGCTGGCGGCTGGACACCGCCTTGGGTCTCAGCTAGACACCACCAGCTGTCGCAAAGCATTAAAAGAAGAACTGATCTCAGAGCACGAGGCATTGTAGATCCCCATCTGGACATGTAGGGGGATGTCATTTCCACAGCCCTGGAAAGACGAGAAATACGATGTTCAACTGGTTCTCAGATGTTCTGAGCACAAACCCAAAACACGGCCTCGATGCCCATGTTCAACTGAACCCATTCGTTCAGGGTCATTTCACGATCATTACTCAGCCACCTGGCACAAACAAACAAGCAGCTCTGCTCAAGATTCAGATTCTTCGATGTTCTTCTTGCCTGTGCAGCATCAGGGTGGAAAACATCAGCCTGAAAGGCAAGAATGCACATAAAACAATGTGTTAGACTGTTAGACTGCTGATTTCTTGAACAAAATTCCTCCACCCTCAGCGATGCCTGTGAAGGCCGTCTGTCCCCAGCAGAGCGCGCTGGAGTTCGAGGCCAGTGAGCTCTCCTGGACACGCTTCCCAATCAAGGATTCTGCAGTCAAACGGTTCGGGGCTGAGGTCCCCGTCTGCTTCTTTTGACGATTCTTGCGACATGAGTTCTCATGAGGTCTTCAAAATCTTGCCTTCAGACTCATGGAAGGCACGCTGGTTTCCCTGCAAAGGCGGAAGACCATCAGAAATTATGAGAACTTTTCAGGCGTACCTGGTGAACCAAGCCATCACTGCTTGGCCAACAAGTTTTCCGGCCAATGGTGGCGGCAACATTTTGGAAAAACAAGCGTGTGTGTGTCTACCCCTTGTAGTCACAGGGATTTTTTTTGAATTGCTTTTCTGCCTACTTTTGGAACTAGCTTGAGCAGGGGGGCAGAGGCATCTCCAGTTGTGGCCTCTGCCAACGAAGCTCCACACTGGATGATCAGGAAAACGTACCTGCTTGGTGCACCTGGGCGCATTGATTGTAAGCCGCAGCTGGTGGCCATTCTTCTTCCTTTTGTAAAGTGCTAGTGCAGCTGCAGTCATGCACGGCACGTCGTCATCCTGTCGGCTCGTCCTTTAACTAAAGGCGCTCAGGCCCCCTCACCTGGCTTTTCAGGATTTGGTTTCTGAGGCTGGCGTGTGGCACCGCTTTCAGTTCAGTACACCCAATCATAAGTGTGCCTGGCTTCATGCCAGCCCGGGATGAGCCCGCAGAGTGCCTCCCGCGGACCCGTCGAACGGGGGTTTGTCGTCGTCCCTGCGCCCGGGACCAGAGCAGCTCGCAGCGAGCGTAGGTGGCCTAGGCCGAGAGAACTCAGATCTTGTCTTACGTTTTGAATTCCAAGCTGGCTCATGCCTTTACGTGACCGCAGCGGTCAAAGCTGCCAGCCATTTTGGCACGGCGTACGTGGCCGCAGCGGCCGAAGCTTGTTCAAGACCCGTTGGAGTCTGTCGCGACCTTAGCCCCCTTCCTCCTCCCCTCCCCTCCTCTCTCCCTTGTTTGTCATCTTGGCGTGTTCCTGAATGTAATACTCAGGTTCACCCCTCTCTCTCTCACTGGTGTGTCCCTGGACGCTTGTGCGTAGCTGGGAACACCTGTCCTCTTCCTTCTCTGTTCCCTCTCTCTCTTTTCTCTTTCCTTTCCTTTCCCTCCTTCTTGTTTGGGTGTCCCTGGATGCTTTCGTCATAGCTGGGAACCCTTCTCCTCTCTTCTTTTGGTGTGTCCTTGGACGCTTGTGTCGTAGCTGGGAACACCTTCTTCCCCTTTCCTTTTTCTCTTTCTTTTTCTCTTCTCTCCCTACACCTCCCTCCTGTCGGGGCCTTAGAGTGGGATGCTACTAGGTCTGGCCTTACTACTAGGTGCAAGGACGCTACTTTGACGCTACTGGGGGTTCGTGGCCTTGCTACTAGGCGCAAGGGTGCTCTAGGGCAGAGATGCCTCCCCTTGGGGAGGCGTGTGTGTGTGTACCCCTTGTAGTCACAGGGATTATTTTTGAATTGTTCTTCTGCCTACTTTTGGAACTAGCTTGAGCAGGGGGCAGAGGGATCTCCAGTTGTGGCCTCTGCCAACGAAGCTCCACACTGGATGATCAGGAAAACGTACCTGCTTGGTGCACCTGGGCGCATTGTAAGCCGCAGCTGGTGGCCATTCTTTTTCCTTTTAAAGTGTCAATGCAGTCGCGCCATGCACGGCACGTCGTCATCCTGTCGGCTCGTCGCTTCGTGGTTTTGGAACTTTGGCCTTTAACTAAAGGCGCTCAGGCCCCCTCACCTGGTTTTTCAGGATTTGGTTTCTGAGGCTGGCGTGTGGCACCCGCTTTCAGTTCAGTACACCCAGTCATAAGTGTGTGTGTGTGTTCTCGCGCATCAAACATCCATCTTGGTGTCCTACTTGTTACCCCTGGTAATTACAGGAATACCCCTGATACATGGATGTGGAGCAGCCTCTTCCCGATGGTCGTTCAGCTCTTCCTGGCATCGAAAACACAAGGAGATTGAGAGATCACACAGGCACGGTCACAAAGGTGGCAAACACCGGTCCTCGTGTTGCTTCCACCAGAAATGCGCGATGCCGCGCAGCAGGCGATCCACCTGCAGAGCGGCTCTTGAGCTGTGAGTCTTGGCTTTCGGGACAAAGAGCGCCTTGAGCCAGTCAGTTGGCAGCCGTATGTCATGGGAGATAGCCTCCAATGCAGTGGTGACCTCAGAAACAAACATGTTCCTGTGTCGCCTTTGTCGCTGTTTTATTCACAAAGAGTAACACAAACGTAAAGTCTTTGATCGGTTGGCGCACGCAGCTACTCATATCTTTGTGCGCTGTTGGCAAGTGTCGATTCTGACCGTCGCCGTCGAGAACTGTCTTAGCAAGCCAACGCAGCAGCAGTTGGAATTGCGCCGCGGGCAGAAAGGGGCACGGTTTACTTACATCGTAGAATCATAGGTCAGATCCTGGATCATCCCCACGGCAGCCTGATTTCACTATATGAAGTATTGCTGACGCCGCCAAAATGTCTGAGCTTCCCATCTTCTGGGCTGTTTGTTTCCTAATGCTTGTGTGACTAATAGGGACACACATCCCCATAAGCGCACCAGCAAATGCGACAGCATCAGCGACACATATCCTGTACTGTGCAATGAGAATGAGATGACACAAAGCCGGACGACATGCCGAGATGAGGCAAATAGGCTGGTCTCAGGCAGCGTGGGCTCCAAAGCTTTCAAAACAACTCAGCAAGCCACAGCCATATCAATGGTTGTTCTGTGTTGTTCTACATGGTTGGTTTGGTGAACACGAAGGAAGAAGGACACTAGGACCGTCCCACACCAACCACCCTTTCCTCAGGTCCTCCGGCCAGGTCGGTTGGAAGATTGGTCTAACTGACTTAGTGACTAAAGGCGCTTCACAGAATCAACCTCCAACACTTCCCATTAGCGGTGGGCTTGAAAGCTTATCTTGCACACTGACTTAGCATGCGAGACTCAGAAGTTAGAGAGCTGACGCATCATCGCCAGTTGGTCACGCAGTTCCGGTTTGTTTTTCACAATCAAAAAGGATGTTTGATCGACACATCTAGTTTGCAGCGTCTGGGAGGTCTTTCACCCAAAACTGCAACATTCTTTGTACACACAGGCTGACAATCATGTGATTTAAATTAACCTCCAGCTTCCAACGGCTGTAACAACAGACTTGCACAGCTAAAACAAACAAAACACACAGGAACCGGGAAGTCTCATCTAAGCGCTGTACTCCGGTGCCAAGTAATGGCAAGGAGTTCAGAAACCTGGCATAGCCAAGTTTCCAGGTCGAGCTTTGTATTTCTGCAACATGGACGAACATGGATAACACTTGCTCACGCTTAGGCCCTTTCGGCAGTAGGTGGATCCAAGGTTGGTTCATCTACAGGTCTTTCAGGTTGGAAGTATCGCAAGACTTGTTGCAAACAGCCGCCAGCCCCACTCCAAGCGCAGGGTTTGTGCCTTGCGACTGGAGCAACATGCTTTGGCTTGATCATGTGATTGAGACAGTGATTAGTTGTGTAGTGGGTCAACAAGCCCAAGAAAAATCCCCAACAGCTGGGCATCAAAATCAGCCTAGTAGCAGTAGGCATGGCACCAAGTGTCATGTCTTTGCCGGACAACGCTGTCTTCAGAAGTGTGAGCCGCTTCAATGCGCCATACCAATAACACAGCAATACATCGGCACAGCACACAATATGCGCCCACACATATGTGCAAACTCGACAACGCCGCCACCAGCAAGAACCAGCAAACCTGCTACGGAACCCGCCCTGGAGGCTGCCAGCATGTCCGCGCAACAGCATGACCGACGGCAGCATCTCAGCATGACAACATGTCAGCATGTTAGTGCGACTCATGACAGCACGCCAGTATGACCACACAAGCATATCAGCATGACAACGCAAGTCACGTCAGCACATCGGCCTGGCAGCACCTCAGCCCATCAGAGAGACACAGCATATCTGGGTGGTTCCAGCATCAGGGCGCGCTGCGGAACCGCAAGTGCAAAGTGCTCCGGCAATTGCACCAGAACCTGCTCCGGAAGCTCCGCAATGTCCTCTGCAACCTGCTCCGGAACCTGATCCCCAACTTGCTCCAGAGCTTGCTCTGAACTTGCTCCGAACTTCCTCCACAAACATGCTCGGAACTTCCTCCGGGTACCTGCTCTGATCTGCTCCGAAGTCTTTACTATACTATGGCTTGTTGTTGTGGTTCCTAAAAGTGCTGTTGTGGGTATAACACACCCTCATGGCTGAAGACCCGAAGCTCTGCTGTTGGGGGAAAAGTCATCAAACATAGTGACCGAAACAAAAGGAACAAATTAACAAACAAAGACTCATACATACTCCCGGAATACTCCCAACTCTTTCTTAGGTTCTGGAGACTGTCTGATTGTCCCTTCTCATTGTGTGGCACTGAACACCCGGCGGTTGGATACTCCTCGCTGAGGTAATCGCCTGTCACGTGGGTCTTGCAAATGACCATGACACAAAGCTGAAGAAAGCTGAGTCTAAGCCGCACGCCCAGCTTCTGGGGATCTGCGTTGAGCCTATGGCTGTGCCAAACGCTGAAACGAGAGCCGCAAGGAAGAATGACAATTCAATATGGCACACGTGCAAAGGCCAATCGTGGTCTACTCGCCTCACCAGGAAATTGTTGATCTCAACGGGAAAGTCCCGGACGATGCTCAGCGCCACGAGAAAGGCGACACCGTGGCCAGGGCTCCTGGCTCTGGAAATTGAAATAGGTCATGCACCCGATGCACCCTATCATATACGTACGGCAAAAATAGTCTAAGGTGAGCTAATGTGAGCTTGCCCCTCATCTAAGCTTCAACGTTCTCTAAGTCTTGAAGCAAGATTCCATTGAATCGCAGCAACCCAATTTCCACCAAAGTGCTCCTGTTGAAAATGGAGACGCCAAGCTGCTGTAGTTCCTCCAAAACTGTGTGATGGCTTGCTTGCAATCCCTCCGTCTGGTCCCCACTGCCAAAAAGAAAAGTAGTGGGATTCTTAGCTGCCTTTTTCTGGCTTGGTCGAGGTCATTTGCTGACATGTGACAGTCTTCGAGCCAGATCGTATAATACAAACCTCACACTGGCTCTCATCAGTCACTGTCTGATTCCTAGGTTCCTCTTGTCGGACACTTTGGTTCCTAGGTTCCTCTTGAAGGCGAACTACACAGCGCATGGGGCACTCAAACGACCTCACACGGGGGCTCGGTGCTGGAGACTAAAAAAGGTGTCTGGTATTCTGTTGTTAAGTCCAAGACCCTGGTGTCGAGCACTCAAACGATGGACTTCAGCTCTGCAGTGCCTCCCACAAGTTCGAGAATAGCCAAGCAGGCCAGTGGAGTCGAAAAAAGAAAGCGCCAGGCGTGGTTTTGTGGCGGCTTTGCCTTTGTCCAATCGAAATCCTTGGAGAATCTGTCCTTCAAATCCTTGCAAGCATCCCTGTACCTCGCGTCTGCGGAAAAGTCTCTGCTCTTGATGCACATGAATTCAAAATGTGGGGATGTGAGGGGGTGGCCAACCTCCTTAAGGACCGGAGGGTTTCATCACTTTGTGATGTGTGAAACTGAGGGCACCAAAGTTGTACGTCCGCTTACCAAAAAGAACGCAACATGAATGCAAAGGAATATACAACTAACTTTTGAATGGGATCTGCTTCAAAAAGCAAGGCATCAACGTTGTACAAGGCCATGTGGAAATCTACCCGTCGAGACAACACAGCATAGGGCACTCTTCTTTGCAAGTGTAAGCTCTGTCCAGAATTGTCAACTCACACCTTAGGAATCATAGCATCTCTTCACTTCTGCACTCAGCACATATGAGAGCTTGATAGAGCTTGTGTAAACGTGGAGACTCAAACAGCCTGAGAATGTCTTTCAAACAAGTGACATTCCTGCCATGACGTGCTGGACAAATTCCCGCGGGAAATCCACCACATTGTCAACGACGTGGACAAAACCACCACCAAGGCTAAAATCGACATGAACGTACCTGCATCGTGCAAAGGCATTGCAAGGGATTTGCAAAACCGTATATATATATATATTTTATATCAGAATGCAAATGTGTTTTCCAAGCAAAACACACACCCTGAAACAAACCGTGTCGTGGTGTCGTGCGCACGGAAAGCCCTTTGGCACTGCCGTGCGCGCTCCACCCTTGGAGTCCGTCTCGATGACCTGCAAGAACTTGGGGCGAATGCTTCAGCTGGGTCCATAGCCCACAGGAGCATGTTGTCCAAAACTTTCCACAAACCGCTGATTGCTGATGCAATGGAATGTCAAGATACTGCTAAGTGTAAACAGCAAAAGTGGCCTTTTTGTGCGAGGTCTCAAACTCATTCTCAGCTTCATCGAATGCCTAGATACAGTGATGTCTGTCGCTATACTACGTTGGATGTCCGGTTTCTTCTGGCCTTCTTCCAGTATGTCTTTGCTTGTACCAGCAAGTCCATCCTGTGGGCATTCAGCCAAGAAAATGGGCTGATTGGCTTCTCCAGCTCCAGCTGTCAAACAAACAAAAGCTGTCCATCTTCACAAAATAGCATCTGAGAGTCTGACTCGATAGGATAAGCCACAATCGAGCAATGAGGACCAGCCCCGAGCAGTGCCTGAAGCGACAAACCTGATACCTTGATACCTTTCTTTGAGCAACTATTTAGGACCTTCAAAGCACCAAAATTAAGCAGAACATATACATAAAATCAACAAAGGAAAAGGAAAGTAAGGCTACCTGTTCTTCTCTTTTGATTCTTTTGATTCTCCTATTCCGATGTTGACTAAATCCTTTGTGGCTTGACAATCCCGCCTTGTCTCGTGAGACACGATGTATTGATGATTCCACAAAAAGAACTGCTCGTGGTGGTTGCTGCGAGCAAGGCAGTCACGAGGCGACTCGTTATAAACTCTGTGAGATTGTACCAGCATGATGAACCCTCCTCAAAATATAAAGAACTTGGAATCAGCCGAATCGAACTCATCCAATTACAGTCTCTGCATTCGAAGTCCAGAATATGAGGCCTAGGTGGCCTAAGTGTATCCTTCAAAATCCTCCACTCACGGTGCAGTCTGCATCAATCTCCAAGAAAATTGGTCTCTAATTTTGACTCACGTGCTCGTCCCATGACTTGCTTGCATCACTTTCTTTGGAGCGGTCTCAGCTGGTCACCTCCGACTCGTAGAATGAAACGAGGCACTTCTGGTAGTTGCGGACATCTGCCTTGGATCCCCATCATTTTGTTGTGTGGCTTCGTGTCCATTATGCACAAACTTACAGCTCTCAAGCTGAGATCCATGCCCAAGCTGCCTGCAATCAGCAAGAATCTTGCAAAGCAACCCACCCATCGGTGGAGTCAAACAGTGCGTGCACCATGGCCTGGCCTCATCCACGTCAGTCATGGCCATCGCATGGTCCTGTGGAACAATGATCACCTGCCACATAGCATTTTTCAGAAAGTTGCCGGTTTCATGAACACCTTGGTATTAGCTTGCCTGGCCAGGTACGATACAGCGGTTTTGGGCCTCAACACAAAGGTACCTGCCACTTCTCCATTGCCATGTCAGTACAACTTCAAATTATGTATATAGTGTATCATATATGTCTGTTGCGCGCACGCATGTGGAGACACTGACATGATCGCATCCTTGCGGAAGAACTTCTTGCCTGAACGATGTCTTGCCCGGATAGGCTCGGAGATTCCTTTTCCGGTCAGGAGGCTAAAAGTGTTTGGCACATTGCTTGTCGTCTCTCATAATCCCGAGCATATTCTTGGGAAAAGGCTTTGCAGCACATAGTGTTTATGATTGGCACAGAAACCACAATCTGTTTAGTCCAAGATAGTCCAAGTGGCTTTCCATGCACAATGTGCATCGCTCAAGGTTCACCTGGCCCGAAGTAAGCTATCAACGACATGAATGGATCACAAAGCCCCGAACAAACTAAAAGGTAAAAATAACGCCACCAAACATGACAGTCAACAAACATACAAACTCTATACATACTAACGGACACAAATGTACGAACAGCATCTGTTGATTGGAATATTTGCCTTTCACTTGGCAGAGAGGGAAATATGAAGGTGAGGGCCCCTTCAACAAGTTCCTTTTAAGCAAAGAAAAAACATGGGTAAGGCCCTTACCTCCTTTTTTCCTGTCTCTTCCTATTATGTGTCTTTTTCTCGTCTCTTCGCTTCTCGCTTCTCGCTTCTTCTTCTCGCTTCTCGCTTCCTTCTCTCCCTATCTCTCTATCTCCCTCTCTCTCTCTCTTTCTCTCTCTCTCTCTCTCACTCTCCCTCTCTCTCTCTCACTCCTTCTCTCGGTGTACTGCCTGGATTCGATTCTTGTCATTCTTCTCCTGTCGTAAGCGCCTTTCTTCCCCTTTCCTCGCAACGATATACTGAGAATGTGGATTTTCAGAGAAGCTCGGAGGAGCACCTTGCATCCATCTTTTTGTCCATGTTTTCGTACCACCCAAGTGCGTAAGCCTTTCAGGCGAGACAATCGACAGCAAAACCGACAGAAATTGAGCATGTCGAATGCCCAGCAACTAACCATGTGTTTTTGTTTTGATTGACCATTCATCCCAAAGCCGTATGCGAAGCCTCATCTTCGTCTTCCTCCAGCATCTTGAATTTGCCACCTTTCTTAAGAATGTGCTTCTCAAAGTTGGCATCGTAGTCCTGGTGGACTTGGACAGTGTAATGGTTTCTAGCTTTGCACATCTCCATCAATGTAAAGATTCATTCACATCTTGACAAGAGTGACCCACCCTTCCTGCACCCCTTCAATTCTTTCTCGACGAATGAGCTCGCCGAGAGATACTTCGTCATCCTCGTAGTAGCCTTGCAAACAAACATGCGTTTCCTCTTGCGAGTAGCAATTCCTAGCCAAAAAAATGTCCTTATCCTGGCCCAGCCGTGGCCTTGGGAGCCTTTCTTGTCTTTACCTCCAGGAACAGCATTGGCGTTGCCTTACCAGCACTTGCGTGGTTTCGAAGGTCACCGGACAATAACCGTGGTAGTCATGTGATCACACAGGTCATCCGCCTCGCTTGTTGCGGCCTTTGGTATGGACAGAAGTGGATTGGACCTGGAGTCTCGGTCCGTTTGGCAAGCGTCGCACAAAACAAGAACATAGTGTGAAATGTCAGTCTGAGTCTGTCGCAGTCTCGAGCAATTTTTTGCTCCGTCCGGCTGCATCTACTTGCTCAAGAACCTGCTCACTGCACATCACAGAAAAGCTGTTCCAGATTCAAGGTTCAAGAAACAGCAGGAAACTGAACTAAGGTCAGCGCCTTAACATTGTCTGCCTTCTCCTCTGGAAGAGGCAGTTTAAACGTGTTGCCCTCATCACCTAAAGCAAGTGGCTCAGAAATGGCTCCCTTTAATGGAAGAATGGCCACATAGAACCTAGCGGACGTAGCTAGGTCGTTCATGTTGACCTCTATCCAGACTCAACATCGCCACCTTCGAGCAGAAGCAAACTTCACTAGAAAGCACCAAGGCTGCGACTGCCAGCTGACAAACTGGCCTACAAGGCATGGAGTCCTCTTTTGAAATTTGAAAACAAGCGGAGCATCAATAAGAAATCCCATCTGCAAACATGTTTACATCAGAATCGCAAGGAAGGCTCGTGTGGGAAACATCTACAAACATTCCGCAACAGTGCCGTTTCCAGACTGACCAAGCGCCTGGCCTGATGTTTTTCAAGGCGCCGGTTCAGCTCCTCATACCGAGTCATATCACCACCTCAGTCTGGATGAACTTGGATACTGACGAACCGCGAAGCAGCGCAGCAAATGGCTTTCACGCGAACGAAGTGGCTCAAGGGCCCTGCGATTGCAGGAAGTAAGAAACGGCCGCGGAGTGAAGCAAGATCAGGGTTCAAGCGTGTCATGATGGTTTCTCATCCTTCGGGGGGGTCATTCAT